CCGCCGCAGACCGGCTCCCGGCTCGGCGCGGCGCGGCTCGGCCCGCTCGGCCCCGCCATGTCGCAGGTGCTGCCCTACGGCGAGGACAAGGTGGGCCGCTACGGCGCCGAGCCCGAGGCGGGGGAGCTGCCCTTCAGCTGCCGCCTGCAGGACACCAACGCCTTCTTCGGGGGCAACCAGGGCAAGCGGCCCCCCAAGCTGGGACAGATCGGCCGCGCCAAGAGAGGTACCGCCGACCCCCGCCTCTGCCCCCCAACCCCGTCTCAGCCCCCCCGGGACCCCCGCATCTGCCCTGCAGCATCCTCGGGTTTGTCCCGGGACCCTCGGATCTGCCCTGCAGCATCCCCGGCATCCCTGGTGCTGACTCCTGCATCCCCGGCACTGCCCCACGGCATCCCCGAGCCCCCCGGATCTGTCCTTTTATCCCTGGTGCTGACTCCTGCATCCCCGGCGCTGCCCCACGGCATCCTCGGAACCCCCCCATCTGTCCCGCAACGTCCCCGGCACGGCCTCCTGCATCCCTGACGCTGCCCCACGGCATCCCCGGGACCCCCGCATCTGTCCTTGCATTCCCGGCTCTGCCCTGGAATCCCCGGCTCTGCCCTGGAATCCCCGGCTCTGCCCTGCAGTATCCCTGACTCTGCCCTGCAACGTCCCCGGATCTGCCCTGCAGCATTCCCGGCACTGCCCCCCGGCATCCCCGGGACTGGCCCTTGCATCCCCAGCACCTTCCCATAGCATCCCCAGGGTCCAGCATTCTGCCCTTGCTTCCCCGGGATTCCCGGCACTGGGAAGTGCATCCCTGGCACCCCCAATATCGCCTGACGAGATCCCCAGACTCCCGATTCTTCCTTTGTGTTCCCAGTTCTGCCCCACGGCAACCCCTGTCTCTGCCCTGCAACATCCCCAGCACTGCCCCACTGCATTCCTGCGACTCCCGGCTTTGCCTTGCATCCCCAGCACTGTCCCCTGCCACCCCTGGCACTGCCGCCAGCATCCCCAGAATCTCCATCTCTGCCCTACATCAGCTCCAGCACTGTCCCCCGGCAACCCTGAGACTCCCCAGCTCTGTGACTGACACCCGCCCCCAGAACCCCAGGCTCCCCCATCCCTGCTCCAGACACCGCCACGCTGTTCCCCCAGCGCTGCCCTGCACCAGCCCCCGCCTCATGCCGGGGCTACCCCTGGGATTGCCCTGCAGCATCGCTGGGGCTGCCCCGGGACTGTCCCCCAGCACCTCCATGGTGCCCCTGGGACCCCTTGGGACTGCTTCTCAGCACCCCCGGGACTGCCCCCTTCTCATTGTGGATAAACAAGCCTTTCTTTACCCGAGGATCCCCAGAACAGCCCTCCTGGCCCCCTGAACCTCTCTCCCTTCCCGTTTCTGCCTGCCGCAGAGACCACCAGCAGCCTCTGGCCATGCTGATCAGCAAATCCCCCCCCACTTTACTGTCCCCCCAGGACTCCGTGAGCCCAGCTGTGTCCTGCCCCCCCCATACTTCCCCTCCTGCTGCAGAGACCCCAGCAGCATCTCCCCTGCTTCCATCAGGACCCAAAGAACTGTCCCCCTCTCCCTCCTGCACCCTGATCTGTAACCATTGATCCTCCCCAACGCCTTGGGGACCTTTAAAAATGGCTCCCCCTTTTCCTGCAGCCCCCATCCCACCTGCTTGGGGGTCCTCCATATGCAAACACCCCTCCTTAATCTGCAGGGATAAGGAGGGAGGGGAGAATTCCCCCCAGCTCCAACACACCCCAACCCCACGGGGGGTGAGCACTGCCTGCTCCACTGCCCCCTTTTGCAGTGCTGGAGGCTGGCTCTAGCAGCACCCCCGGGCTGATGGGGGGATGGTTCTCCTTCGGTGGTGTTGGGGGCTCCATCTGCTCTCCCAGTAATTCTGGTCTGGTTAATCCACCTCCAGGAGGGCGATGGGGGGGATTATTGACCCCCCCCAGTAGTGCTATTGGGGTGGGGGTCTGCCGTCCACCCCCAGAGTGATGTTGATGGGAGGCAGCTGCCCCGGCGGTCACGGTGTGGGGTAGGGGAAGGTGTGTGTGTGTGTGTGTGTGTAGCTCCCTGGTGATGCTCACGGGGGTCTGTCCAGCCTCCCACCGCTGCTGCTGCTGCTGGGGAGGGGGCTGCCCCGTGGGTGATGCTGCGGGGGTCTCTCTGGAAGTTGAGCTGACGGGGGGCTCTCCAGCCCCCCACGGTGACGCTGATGGGGGTTCGTGCAGCCCGCCGTGCTGTGGGGGGCTGTCCGGCCCCCCCAGAGATGCCGATGGTGAGGGTGGGTGTCCTGCGCAGCGGGTGATGCTCAGGGGGGTCTGGCTGCCACCCCCGCCGAGCAGGCGGTGCCCCCCCCGCTGGGTCATTACCCATTCCAGTCCTGTTGCTCTCATCAGCGCCTGCCGCAGAGAGGAGGGGGGGGTCCTTCCTGGTCTATTCCTGCCCCCCCCATTCCTAATCACCCATCCAGAGGCAGCCGGCTGGCTGCGGGGGGGATGCTGCCCCTACCCAAGCCGGGCAGGGGGGTGATCCCCCACCCTTCATCCCGGCTGTACCCACCCGAACCCCCTCTGTCCCGCTCCCGGGGGCACATCTGGAGCCTGACGGGGGTGAGAGCCGGGGTAGGGGGGCAGAGGCTGTCGCGTCCCCTCGCCCACGCGCCCCCGCTGTCCCCGCAGTGGTGATCGAGGATGACCGGATAGACGAGGTGCTCAAGGGCATGACGGAGAAGTCGCCGCCGGGGGTGTAAGCCGGGAGCCGCCGCCAGGACCCGCCGGCCGAGCCCCGCTCCAGCCCGCCGCCCCGCATGCTGGCTGGAGCGCCGACGAGGAGGGGGAGGCCATGCCCGCTGCCCCCCCCGGCCCGGGGGGGGGCCCTGCAGCCACCACCACCCCCCCCCCGAGCCATGCACTTTACCCCTCCGCCTCCCCGGGGCCGGGACAAACCGCCGAGCCCCCCACCCTGGGCGAAGACCCCCCTGCCCGGGGAAGGGGCCCAGCCCCCTGCTCCGCGGCGCGTCCCCCCGATCCTCCTTGGCGGAGGGTCCCCGAATTCCGGGGCCACCCGGCCCCATGAGCGGGAGGGGGAGCGCTGCTGTCCAGAGACATTTTTTGCTCCATCGTTTTTTGCATGAGCTTGGTGGCCCGGGCGGCCGGCCCGGGGGCCGAGGGTCAGCCCCACCACTCCGGCACGCTTCTTTTTAAAACAGAAACTCCTCATATTTGTATTTTTATATCCGAATCTTTGTTAAAAACGATCTGCTGACGTTGAGATGTCAAAGTAACTGCATCGAGAAAACAAACGAAAACAACCAACCAACCAACAAAAAAAAAAAGGTTCATATTTTTTTCCATAAGAAAAAAAAGACAAAAAAAGAAGAAAAAAACGAGGGCAAAAATTAAATGGGGGGCGAGAGTGATGGAGGGAGCATGAGGAAAGCCACAGGAGGAGGGAGGGGAGCAGGGACCCCTGGCCCGACCCCCGCTGGCAGGCAGCAGGAGCACCGGCGGGTTTGGCAGCGTCACCGGCCGCTGCAGTTCCTTCCCGGCAGCACCGGGGCAGAGCCCACCGGGGCCGGCTGCAGGTGCCAGGGGGGGTCCCAGCACTGCCCCTCGCTTGAGGGTGGTGGGGTCTGGGGAGAGTGGGGAGGGCAGGGACCGGCCTGAGTCGTTGTTTTTAATTTTATACTTTAATTTAATTTTATTTTTTAAGAAGCTTCTCGGGGGGTTCTGATGTGCATGAGAAACTTGTCATCTTTTTCAATAACCTACGAGTGGCATTTATGGAGACAACGACGCAAAAAAAAAAACAAAAAACCCACCAAAAAAAAAAAAAAAACCAAACAAAAAACTGAGGAAAAAAAGAAAAAAAAAAAGAAAAATAAAAGATACTTGTGTCATGATGTTCTACGAATGATCCATTGTAAATTTAAATGCCATTTTTCACTGTACTGGTGAACAAAATGCAATGAATAAAATACATTCATGTACCCAGGTGAAGCCGGCAGTCGCCTGCTCCTTTCTGTCCCTTCCTCGTGCCAGCTGGATTTTGGGGTGCCTGTGGGATGGGGTGCCATGGCCAGGATGGGGACTGACCCCGGAGCCCTTGGCTGGCTCCTGGTGCAGGGGGAGCCGCTGGCTGACCCACTTACACCTTCTGCCCGAAATAGCAGCCCAGCAGCTCACGCCTCTGTGCTGTCACTGCCCAGGAGGGTCCCTTTAGCCCACCCAGGGGGAGTTGGTGCCCAAAGAGCCTCTGGGGACACTGCCAGTGGCACCCATGCACCTGCCACAGCAGCACACACACGTGGTGGCCCACCTGTCACCCACCCTGGCACACACGTGTCACTGTGCTGCTGGCCCCAGGCACAGGGGGACACGGGCCAGGTGTGTGCAGCACACTGGGACTGTCACCACAGGCAGGAGTGGGGATGGATGGGGAAAGAAGCAGATATGCTGCCCCCTTCCTTCCCTGTGGCACCGCCTGCCCCATGCTGGCACATTCCAGCCTGGATCCCCCAATACTTGGGGGGTGACAAGGACAAGGTGCCCTTGCACACCCCCAGGGCCAGGTCCTGTTTCAGGATGGGGTGGGGTGGCTGGAGCAGTGGGCACCCCCAATCCTGTCCCCCAGAGCCAGTGCCAGCACCCCCATTCTGCCCTCAGCCTGGCTGTCTGTGCCAAGGGGAAGGGATGGGGGACAGGGAGCTACTCCCTGCAACATGGATGGGTGAAATTAAACCCGATTTGGTTTCATTACTGGCTGCAAAGTCTGGAGACCTGGCTGCTCTCCAGCTCAGCAAGGAAAGGCCAGGGAGGGGGCACAGAATCACCAGAGCATCCCTGTGCCCCCAGGAGGAGGCCAAGCAACCCCCTCTTCGCTCGCATCACCCACACCGCTGGGCAGCTCGCAGGGGGATGCACCGGTTCCCTGTCTCCCACCTGTGAGGATGGAGCACCTTAAGGCTTTATTGGGAGGTGGGTGAGCCCCTGGCTCACAGCTGGATGGCGAGGAGATAGTCCTCGTCGTCGTCCGGGGGGGCGGGGGCCGGCGGCGGGGCGGGGGCCGGGGGGGGCTGGTGCAGGCGGCGCCCCAAGGCCACATCCCGGGGCTCCAGGGGCTGCCCCTTGCGCATCACGTACAGGAAATAGTGGAAGGCTCCGGCGTCCCCATCCCCGCAGGCAGCGTGGCGCAGGGACCAGCCAAAGTCCTCCTGGGCATAGTGGGGCTTGCGGAAGTGGGGCTGGGCAAAGGTGATGGAGATGAAGCAGCCCCCTGGGCGCAGCACCCGGCTCACCTGCGTCAGGAAAAGCCCCAGGATGGGGTGGGGGAACACCGTGAGGTTCAGTGCTTTGGCTCCGTTCCCAGGGTCCCCATCACCATCTGCCAAAGAACCCTCCCAGCCTTTCCCATCACACCCCCCAAAACCTCTTGTCCTAACCTTGACCCCTCCAAGAGACACCTCAGGTCTGACGTGTCCCCAGACCACCCACAGGGAACAGGGGTTCCCCATGCTCCATCTCTCCCTGCACCCCAAAACTCTTCACTCTCACCCACAGCAGACAGCATAGAAACCCAATCCTGGCATGGGAAAAGCTTCACCCTTTTGAGCACAGGGCTCCCCCAAGCACAGCATGGGACACCCATCCCACCCACCCCTCCCCAGACCACCCAGTACTACCACCAACACACAGAAATAGAGGGGGATGTGGGGGGTGTTTGATGGGAAAGGACTCAACCCTTTTAATCACCATTTTCTCCCTGCTGGAATTAAGCCCCGCTAACAGGATGGAAAAGAACATCAATTTTCCTGCTTGGCTTTATCCAATGTCAAAAGGCTTTTACGGCCAGCGCCCACGTGCTCAGCATGCAAAGGCACTGCCTGGGGCGGGCGGGCGTCCAGCCCCCTCCCTGCACCCTGCCCCAGGCGGGAACACCCCCAGACCCCCCCGGCAAGGGCACAGAGTCACTGCTGCAGGGGACAGGGCTGGAGGCCAACTGGGGGGTTTCCCGAGGTTCTCTGCTTTAATCCTGCTGGGAAGCTCCAGCTGGGGAGCTCTGCTGGGGCCAGTGGAGGGGACAGGCAGCCTGCGTGTCCTCCCCTGCTGCAGCGGTGGCTTTTGAACCAAACCCTACCGGTTTTGGCCAGGAAAAGGGGAAGGCAGGTCCCTACATCCCTCTCTGGGCACCTGGCTCAGTATCCCTCCCTGCTAAGTGCCTGAAAATCTGCCCTGGGAAGACCCCACAGCTTCCCAAGCAATAGGCGGGGAGGGGGGTCCCCGGAGGTGGGGGCAGGCAGGGATCTCCGGCTGGAACTGAGCGAGGCATCCCGCATGTCCACATCCATCCCTCGTTAATAGAGCAATAATGGCCGTTGCTTGGAGACGAGCGCAGGAAACCTTCCCATCCGTCAGCGGGAGCAGGGGGGCCGAGGGGCTGCTCCCGCCACACCCGCTGTCCCCAGCTCGCTGGGACAGGGTGTCCCTGCGGTGTCCCCACAGGCAGGGTGGATTTTCAGGTTCTTACATGCCCCCGGGGAGAGGAAGACAGAGGCTGTGAACACCCCAATGAAGGGGGATGGGGGTGGGAAGGGAGGTACCACGGATAGACCCCCTCTGAAAGGACCTCCAAAACAGGGAGCAAGTGGGAACACCCAGCGAATCCCCCGGGGATGAGGACAGCAGGGACCGGCTGCGGGTGGAAGCTGGTACCCAGCGATGCTGGGGGAGGGCAGGGATTGAGCAGAGGATTAAAAAGGGAAAAAAAAGGGAAAATTAAATCCCTGCCGTTTGGCAAAATGACAAGGACAGGCAGCAGCGCTGGCAAGGAGGGCAGAGCACAGAGAGCGAGCACAGCCCCACTGCCCTGCCGGGGGTTGAGCTCCCTCCCAGGCTCAGCCAGGCAAGAGAGGATTGGGAGGGTTGTCAACAGCCATGAGCACCCTCCCAGCACCCCGTGCCTGCAACCCCGGGGTGCCAGGGAGGTGCAGCAATTAATTATCCTGGCAGTTATTCCCGCAGGGTGGGAGAGGCTGCCAGGACCCGCACCCCCGCGCCGGGACAGGTTCAATCCGGTCCCGCCGCCACCAATTAACAGGGCCCCGAGGCATCACCCGTCCCCGTGGCAACGCCATGGCCCTGTCGATGCTGATGGGAGTTGCCATGGCAACACCAGACCAGATGATGGGGACCCCGGCTAAGGCGATCGAAGCTGGGGCGGGGGGTGCGGGGGGGCCAGAGCTCTCACAGCCCCACGGTCATCACCTTGCCCTGGGCTGGCAGGGCCACCTCGGTGTGTCCCCCTGGGTCCCCTACAGCCACCCACGCTAGGACAGGGCCCATTTTTCTGACCAACTCTTTGTATTTAGCATGCAAATAAAGAGGGGGATCATCCAGCAGGACCCAGGGACACATCCTGCTCCATCCAGCTCCCTGGGGAGGAGATGATGGGCTGTAAGAGGGGGCAGTCTCCCACCTCCAGCACCTGGGAGCTCCCCAGGTGCCCCCCTGCAACACAGCTGAGGGGCAGGACAGAAACACCGGCTGGGAGGACAGAAACACCGGCTGGGGCATGCACAGGGAAGCAGGGTGGTGAGGAGGCACTCAGCACCTTCCCCCAGCCCAAACAGGGATGGGGTCCCACCCTCTGCACCCCTCCTCAGGTCCCCCCAGCCCGTACCTCTGCCAGCACCCGGCGCATCGCAGCGGCTGCCTGGGGCGAGACGTGCCAGGGGTCAGTTTCCTCCACCAGGAGCACGTCGAGGGTGCCCTTCTCCAGCACCACGTCGAAGGAGGCGTCGGGGAAGGCGAGGGCACGGATGTCCATGACAGCCCAGCGCAGGCCGGGGCAGTGGGCGTAGCGGGCGCGCATGGCCGCGATGCAGGCAGCCGAGAAGTCGATGCTGGTGACGTCGGTGTAGCCCAGCTCGTGCAGGTCGTGGCTCAGGGCGCTGTTGCCACAGCCTGTGTGGGGCACAGCTCACACAGAGCTCAGGGTGCCTGTGCCAGTACCCCAACTCTGTTCCCGTGGTGCAGGAGAGGGTGTGGGTGGGCTGGGGCTGCTGGGCAGGGGCAGGTCATGGCTTTGATGTCAGCTAGTGAGGGTTGGGCGAGTCACTAATTACCCCTGTCCTGCCAGGTGGGTGCTTTGGGCTCCTATCCTGGGGCAGCCCTGCACACCCGATCCCCTCACCTTGGCGTGGGAGGCAGGGGGAGGCTGGAGGCAGGAAAGAGGCAGGGGGCGTCCCCAGTTATCCCTCCCGCAGTGCTGTGGAGTAGGAGCCGGCTGCGGTCCCAAGAGCCTGCTGGATAACTCCATTGGGAAATTAGGGAACTTCGGCGGGGGGTTTAACTGGGTGCGATGGCGAGAGGAGTGGAAGAACTGGTGTCTCAACAGGACACGGGGGGACACGGGGAGTGCCCCGCTACCAAGGCCTCCCCTCAGAGCCGCTCCACCGGGGCTCGGCCGCTCACCGGGGGAGCCGAGAGGGATCCCGGGGAGGGGGGCGGATTTGGGGGCTATTAAACGCAGCTGGCAGCGGCTGATCCGCTAACAGGATCGGTGATTACACCCGCTTAATCCCGCCGGCGGATCAGACCGCAGGTGGGATTACGGGGCGGTTATACCCACCAGCACCTCCGGCACCGGGGCCATCCCGCCGGGCCGGGCAGGGCGCAGCTCCCGGTACCGGCCCGGTGCCACACCGCCCTCTGGCGGCTAGCGCCAGCGCATCCACCGGCGGGACCCCGAGCCCCGCCCGCCCGCCCTCCACCGGGCACGCCGGGCACGGGGCACGTACCGAGGACGAGGATGCGATCACCGGGGCGCAGCTCGGGCTCCAGCTGCGGGAGAAACCGGGAGAGCCCCCCCAGCCACTCGCGGGTCTCGGCGCCCTCCCGCCGGTAGAGCTCGTCCCAGAACCGGCGCCGCCCGTACCGGGGGGGGGCGGCGGGCGCGCGCCGCCGCTCCATGCCCGCGCGCGGGGCGGGAGCACCGGGCGCCACGTGCCGCCCGCGCCCCCACGTGCGCCTTCCGGTCCGGGCCGGCGCGCCGCGCTAAGCGCTCCGGGCGGAAACAGAGAGCGGAATGGCGGCGGGGCGGGGGGCGGCGGTGCTGCGGCGGGCATGGCGGGAGCGGCGGGCGGCGCTGCTGGAGCCCCGCTACACCCCGCTGGTGGCCGCCTGCCTCTGCCTGGCCGAGGGCGGCGTCAACCTCTGGGTCATCCGCAGGGTCCCCTGTGAGTGCCGGGGCCCGGCCCGGCCCGGCGCTGCCTGGGGCTGCCCCCGGGGATGGCGGGGCCGGTCCAGGGCGGCGCGGGGCGGAGCGGGGAGCGGAGATGCCGCGGGCACGGGGACAGCCCTGCCGCGGCCCCTCGGGTGACAGCAACCCCGGGCAGGGGGATAGGGCCGCGCCTGGAGGGGGCCAGGGAGGGACGCGGGGCTGGGCCGGGGGTCCTGGATGTGGCGGCTCGGGAGAGCCCGTGCTGACAGCATGGCAGCGAGGCACAGGATCAGGCTGGCGGGTGTGGAGCTGGGTCAGCCCCCGCAGTGCCCCCGAGCCCCGCTGACCCCGCTGTCCCGCAGACACCGAGATCGACTGGAAGGCCTACATGCAGGAGGTGGAGGGGTTCGCCAACGGCACCCGCGACTACACCCAGCTGAAGGGTGACACCGGGCCACTGGTGTGAGTGACGGGGACACCCAGCTCTCCGTGACCGGCGGCTCCCGGAGGGGCCGCAAGGCCCGGCCCCTCACTCCCGTCTCCCCACAGCTACCCCGCCGGCTTCGTGTACATCTTCCTGGGGCTGTACTATGCCACGGGCCGCGGCTCCGACATCCGCCTGGCTCAGTACCTCTTCGCCGGGCTCTACCTCCTCAACCTGCTCCTCGTCTTCCGCATCTACTGCCGGACCAACAAGGTACCCTGAGGCCAGGGCTCCTGAGCCTTCACCCCGGCGGAAGGGATACGGGCTCAGGGCTGGGGTGTGGAGGAGCTCAGCAGCAGCAGGAGGGAGTCCAGGACAGGCTGCTGATGACCCTTCTGTGTTTCTGTCCCCTGCAAGGTCCCTCCATATGTTTTCTTCTTCATGTGCTGCGCCTCATACCGCATCCACTCCATCTTTGTGCTGCGGCTCTTCAATGACCCTGTGGCCATGGCCATCCTCTTCCTCGCCATCAATCTCTTCCTGGAGGAGCGCTGGTCCTGGGGCTGCCTCTTTTTCAGGTGAGGGGCTGGGAGCTGCTCTCCCTGGCTGCTGGGTGTGTGAGCCAGCTCAGCCCCAGCAGGAGGCTGCGCTTGGCTCAGGGGCTGCCGGGGCTCCATGTGGGGTCCGCAGTGGTAATGCAGCTTCCTGCTCAGCCTGGCTGTGTCCGTGAAGATGAACATCCTGCTCTTCGCCCCTGGACTCCTCTTTCTCCTCCTGCAGCGGTTTGGTCTCCTGGGCTGTATCCCCAAGCTCTGCATCTGTGCCCTGCTCCAGGTGGGTCCCTGTTTGCACCGGCTGCAGCAGCAGGGAATAGGGGGCTGCCTTGCCAGCTGCAGAGCCATAGGTGCAGACAGTGGTACCAGCACCTGTGGCCTCTCACAGCAAGCTGGGTGTTGATAAATAATCTAACTCACTTGACTTTCATCTTGGGCTGACTGTCCCTGTCACCACACGTGGCACTGGGCTTCTCAGGAGGTAGCTGGGGTAACAGCAACCTGGTGTAGGGCTCTGTGATGGTGCTGGTGTCCCTGCAGGTGGTTCTGGGCCTGCCCTTCCTGCTGGTGAACCCTGTGGGGTACCTGACCCGCTCCTTTGACCTGGGCCGCCAGTTCCAGTTTAAATGGACGGTGAACTGGCGCTTCCTCCCAGAAGAGATTTTCCAGAATCGAGTCTTCCATGCTGCTCTGCTCCTGGCTCACCTGGCAGGCCTGGGGCTCTTTGCACTGCACCGGTGGCACAGGTGAGCCCTGCAGGATACAGATCCTTGACTCCCCTGCCCCTGCAGTGCTGCAGTCCTGGGATTCCAGGTGTGAGTTGGAGAGCAGTTACTGTTCTGTTTTGGGGAATGTACAGCCCAGGCATTGTGGCTCACAGGGGAACATTGGGGTGGGAGAGACTTTCAGCATCTGAGATCAATGTTTGTTCTTCCCTCTCAGTTCCAAAGAGAACATCCTGACTCTGTTGAAGGATCCTGCCAAAAGGAAACCCGCATCCCCTCGCTTGACTGTCAACAATATCCTTTGGCAGGGTGGGCAGCAAGGAGAGAGGGAGAAAGAGAGGGAGAAGGCAGGCAGGGAGAAACCTGGTTGGGTCCCAGGCCATGCAGTGCTGTTGTACCAGCCTGCCCTGGGGGAAGGAGCTATGCTGGGGAGCTCTTGTGGGACCACACCTCCAGCCTCCTGTGTTTGCCCCCTTAATGCCAGTGCATGGATTGTCTTCATCCTCTTCTCCTCCAACTTCCTGGGTGTCTGCTGCAGCCGCTCCCTGCACTACCAGTTCTACGTCTGGTATTTCCACACTCTGCCCTACTTACTCTGGTGCACCCCGACCACCAAGCTGGCCCACATGCCCAAGTACGTGCTGGCAGGGAGGGGAGCACCCATCTGCTGGGGCTCTGGGAGTGAGGATGGCTGGTGTGTCCCCCACGCTGACCCCCAGCTTTCCCCCTGCACAGGGTGCTGCTGCTGGGCGTGATCGAGCTCTGCTGGAACACCTACCCCTCCACAGTCTGCAGCTCTCTCTCCCTGCACATCTGCCATGGACTCATCCTGCTCCAGCTCTGGTATGGCACAGCCCCCACGCCAGTGTCACACACCCCTCCACCGAGCAGGAAACCCACAGCCACATCCAAGAAAGCCCAGTGAGAGTGGGGATGGCTGGCCAGTGGGAACTGGCCTCTGGAACTGCCCCATCTGCCTGCTCTTTTCCCACTTGACTCCTAGGCTACCCACAGCAAGCCCAAGAGGGCCATGAGCCCTGGAACTGTGCAAGGGGGCAGGTGTGGGGATCCCCAAAAGGCAGGACTTCCGAATAAAGGGGGCTTTGTGTGCCCTTCCCCTAAATTCTTGTCCTGTGATGATGTCAGAACAGCTGTCCCTGGACTTGCCCCACCTGAGGGAAGGTAGAGCATCTTCTAGCACCATGAGCACTCTGGCTTCCCAGCTGTGGGAAAGGGGTGCCCAGGGCTAGGCAGCAGCCTCTGGGGTGAGGTTACAAGAGAGGAGCTGCAGAACTGCTTTGCCTCACAATTTCATTTGCTTTGATGGAGCCCAGGAGTCCCTCCAGTACAGCTTTTCCTATTCCCCTGCCTGCTCCCTCCCACCAGAGATGGCTGGGAAGGGGGTGACCTCCTCCTATGATTCTGGTGAGTCCTGGCATGGCCTGAAGGGAGCCAGCAGCTCTCTGCTGATAACAGAGACACCAGTGCAGGTGGCTTGGAGCCAGGTGTCTTTATTGGCCCCTTGGGCGGCCGTCAGACGTTGTTGGGGTTGTAGCACAGCATGTTCAGCTTGATGTTCTCGTCCCAGTGACGCAGCAGCAGGAACAAGTGCCTGGCTGCCCCTTTGAGGCAGCCCACGTCCACCCCCTCGGGCAGGCGCTGCGCCTGCAGCCACGCGTCCGCCTTGGCTGCCACCAGCTCCCACTCCTCAAAGAACCCGGCGCAGCGATGCTCCAGCCATGCCAAGGCCACCGCCGTGGCCCAGCTGGCACTCTCCAGCTCCTCTGGCCCCACGTCCTGACAGCTCACGCCGGCCTCAGAGGGGGCAGCCGAGTGGGGCCCGGTGTCGGACTCGGAGCCGTGCCCGCTGTCCGCCTGCGCCCACGCGGCCGCGCTGGGCACCTCGGAGCAAGTGCTGCGGGACGGGGGCGAGCTGGGCTGCGGGGCTGTGAGGGGCTCCTCGCCCTCCTCAGCCCCGGCTCCTGCCTCAGGGAGGCTCCTGGCCCCTGGGGACACGGGGCTGAGGCTGGCACGGTGGGAGGCGTAGGGGGAGGCGCGGCGCAGGCGGTCCAGGGGGATCTGCACCACTTCAGAGAAGCTCTCGGTGAGCTGGAACGGCCCCCGGGCTTGCTGCAGCTGCACCTGCAAGGAGGGGGCACAGACGAGTGGGGAGGGCAGGCAGGGGTGCAGACCCACCACAGCACCGACCACTGGGGGCTGCAGGAGTGTCCCTGGGGCACAGGGACAGTCTAATGGCCCCCAAAAAGCCAACCAAGATCCCCATGCAGGGCTGACACAGCATCTTCCACTGCTTGTGCTGCCAGGCATGACCTGGGTGGCCCAGCTGGCACCCAGCAGGGCAGGTCCCCCCGCTGGGATGGGGACAGGGGACAGGCAGCAGGTCCTTACCAGCGGGACGTAGTCATGGCTGGCGTGGTTGCTGGAGCGCTCGCTCTCTGGGCTGAGGCACTGCGGGCGCAGCACCAGGCTGGGACCCCTGCGCCTGCTCAGGCTAAACCTGTGGGGTCACAGGCAAGATAACAGGATTGGGAGGAATTCCTGAAAGGCAGCTGGATACCAAACTGATGCAGGAAAGGGGCTAGAGTGCCAAACCCCCCCACTTATACTGCAGGAGCTGGCAGGGGACAGGGAATCAGCAGTTGTCCCCCTCTCCCCACAACCTGCCATTTTTTGGTCTCTTTCATCCCCTCATCCCACAGTGTCACCTGGAGCCTGCGATGCTCTCTGTGGATTTCTGGGAGCCCATGGAGGCGGTGGAGGGGCTGGATGGGGGCCCTGCAAGGGGGAGAGAGAGTTAACCACAGTGGGAACATGAGGCACCCAGAGGTGTGTCCCACTGACCAGTACCTGGGAGGGCAGCTCAGCCCACATGCCCAGGGTACTGAGGGCACAGTGGATACTCCAGCTGTGGCAGGGCATCAAGGGTAGCCCATCTCCCACCCTCATCCAGCCTGGACACACCGTTTGAGTAGTTCTGCTTTTCCCAGCCAAAGGTAGGGGAGGAGGTGCTGCCCGGGGACCTGGCG